TAAAGTGTCAGGTTACAAATTTAATCTATAAAAGTCGGTAGCCTTTCTATATAGCAAGAACAAGCAATAAGAGAAAGAGAACATGGAAACACTCCCCTTCACAATAGCTCAAAATAAAATAAAATAAAATATCTCGGAATAAAACTGACCAAAGACATTAAAGAGCTCTACAATGAAAATTTTAAAACTTTAAAGAAAGAAATTGAGGAAGACATTAGAAGACAGAAAGACCTTCCATGCTCATGGATTGGAAGAATTAATATTGTGAAAATGACCATCCTACCAAAAGTCATATATAGATTCGACGTAATGCCAATCAAAATCCCTAAGACATTTTTCACAGAATTGGAAAAAACTATCAAAACAACCCTGAGCACTAAGAGCAATGCCAGGGGGATTACTATACCAGATTTCAAGCTGTATTACAGAGCTATAGTCATAAAAACAACATGGTACTGGCATAAAAATAGACCCATAGATATCAATGGAACAAACTTGAAGACCCAAATATGAGTAAATACAATTTCAGCCACCTGATACTGACAAAGGGGCCAAGAACATTTACTGAAAGAAAGACAGCATGTTCAGCCAATGGTGCTGGCAAAACTGGATCTCCACCTGTAGAAGAATGAAACTAAACCCCTATCTTTCACCCTGCACAAAAGTCACTTCACTTCCAAATGGCTCAAAGACCTCAATGTAAAGCCTGAAACTCTGAAATTATTAGAAGAAAACATTGGGAAAAACCTACAAGATATAGGCATAGGAAAGGATTTTCTAAACCAGACATCAATTGCTCAGGAAACAAGGGCAAGAGTTAACAAATGGGACCTCATTAAACTAAAAAGCTTCTGTACATCAAAGGAGACAACCAAGGAAGCAAACAGAAAACCCACAGCATGGGAGAAAATCTTCACCAGCAACACATCAGGACAGAGGTTTAATAACCAGAATATATAACAAACTCAAAAAATAGTGAACAACGACAAGAAGCAACCCAATTAAAAGATGGGCTAAGGAGCCGAACAGAGAGTTCTCAAAAGAAGAAGTAAAGATGGCTACGAAACATCTTAAAATATGCTCAACATCACT